CCCCAAAACCCCAAAACCCCAAAACCCCAAATGGTTAGATAGTAGATTGATTTATGAAATCAAGATATTATTCTTAAATGAAAATCTCAAATTCTTGCTTGAATCAAAATCGTATCATTTATTAAGGTTAGGCTGTCCAGGCACCATAATTTTTTCAAGCTGAATTCTCTCTAAGAATCTCTTTTGCGCCTCTATTTAAATCTTGACATCGTTGTTTTTATTGCTTGCCTTCTCATATTCCTTCTTATGTTTCTCAGTATCCTATAAGATTTGCTCAACATTTTCACCCTTTAAGATTTGTGGGTGACTTGCTGAGTGCTTGGCTAGCTCTTGCATTAAATCTTTAACTAACTTTCTAAGTTCCTCAGGATTTACCATTGTTTCAACCTTCTTATTTAGAAGGTCTTGGGTATTCTCTTGCTCCTCGATGCTTTAAGCAATGTTGTTCAGCTGCTAGTTGAAATTGTTATTTCCAGTTATAAAACTCTACGAAGTCTATCCAAGTCTTCCCTTTTGATTTTGTTTTTCAATAGTAGAGAATAAGCTAAAATAGCATGATTAGTGTGAATTAATTTTATGCTTACAATTTGAACTTTTGCTTCTCAGGTAAATCTGGCTTCTGCTCTGAGGCAAATCTAATTTTCTTAGCAGTTTAAGAATAGACACCAGTCTCAACATTAGTCAAGATTTAGTTTTGCTTCTTTACAATATTATAAAGCTTCATAATCTCTGTTCTAGCTTGGTTTTAATCATTCCTACAATATACTTTATGCTTTAATGCTCATACTTAATCTTTTCATGGAAACTTTTGAAATCATCAGCTGATTTTTAGATCTCCTCTTCCTTCTTTCTTAAAAGATATTCTTACTAATCAAAATGTTATAATAATCATAATTTACCTTCTCTTTATTGATTTTAATTTGCTGATCGAATTCCTTTTCTTATTGTTGTAATAGCTTTCTATAGGTATCCTCTGCATTTTGCTTCCCCTCATCCTTCATAAAATTAATTCTTTTAGACTGAAGGTCCTTAGTTTAAGTCTTTTTTACTACGGTTTCATTCAGCTATTCCACAAGTCCTGAATTCTCAATGAGCATAGCATGAGTGTTGTTTAGAATTTTTTGAAGCTCTTCATTTCTATCATTCATCTAACCTCTTAAGGTATTGTCTAATTCCATTTCACTTTATTTATATTCCTCTCTGAGCTTGTCAATCTTTTTATGCAAGATGTAGTATTTTTATGAAAAGTTTTCTTAAATCTCTCTTCTAGCAAATTCATTGTCTTGAATCTGTTGCTGAATTAGTTCAACTCTCTTCTCAATATCTTTATTCTACTTTGAGTAAGTCTCTGTCTTATCTATAGCCTCTTTATGATCCTTGATGATTTATAGCTCTCTTTGGTTGCCCTTTTGCTTTAAAATAGAGTCCAAAGCAATATCAAGTCCAAGCTTTTGTTTAAGATCATTGAGTTTATTCACGTGCTCTCTCTTAAATGAGTCTATCTTGAATTTGATTTCTACATTCTCCTTTGAAATCTCTTGCATGATCTTTTCTTAGTTAGTACTCATCTCACCTCTATATTCAGTTTTCCCCATCATATTTTTCTTGGTTTGAATTTTATCCAAGAACATCATAGTATTCATAATCTCTTGATATCTGGACTCAGTTGGCCAAATGCAGCATAAGAACGTGATATTGATTTACTAGGATGGATGAGATTGTTGCAGCATTGATTATATAATTCTAGTGACTTTAGAATTTTCATAAGGAGCATCCTGCACATTGTACTACCCATTATTTAAACCACCAATAATCTAAGCTATTGTGTTAAAAGTATTGTTGATAACAATTGACTCATAAAGTTTCTAGTTATCTATAATGTTAGTTTGAAGTTTATCATAGTCAGGCATATCAATAAAGATCAATTGAGACTCTTTATGTGATTGAGAACCTCTAACTTGCATATGGAAAATTTAGGTAGCTCTCAAGCCTGGAGTATAGTTTAGCTTCTTGTTAAGCTATTCACTTAGAGCTGCACCTTTTTCCAAATAAAAGGCAATATCACTTAGATCTTTCATATTTTCTAAAACTGTCAAGTTTTTTAGATAATAGTGAGATCCGTTTATCCCTGGCCTTTCATGCACTTCAATAAATTCTTTCTCAATATTTTATGCCTGTGAGATGCTGTATTCTTACGACTGATGAGCTGATTTCTAGTAGCCCATTTTGCTTGGATCATCATAAATGGCTAGATTTTAGCCGTGAGTAATATTTGTCTTCTTCTCTCTCTTAATATACTTGAGAAGATCTCTAATGTTGTCCATCACAATATCAACAAATGAGATGCTTATCCTAGCTCCAGGATCTCTCTTTAGTATATCATGAGCAGTTCTCAGGACTAGACCTCTGGAATCATCAGACTCCTCAATTCTCAAGTCAGTTAGATTTTTTTCAAGCTAGAAATTATTCTCCCCATATATTGTAAATGTCTTTCCGCTCTCCTTGTGACCGAATGAAATCATAATCTCGTTAAGGCCTTCATTTAACAGCATGTCTGTGAACCTAGAATGGTCTTTGTATACATCAGCCTAATATTGCTCAATCACTGTATGCAATCTAATCTTACATTCGATTTATCCTGAGTGTATATCTTGTCAAACTTGAAGTCAAATTAATCCTTTGATCTTTTCAAGGGGTCATGAATTGTAATAACAGACTTATCCCCATATAGAGAGTTTTTCTCCTCTTCCCTGCCTCTTGATATTGAGTAGTAGTCTTCTTTCAGTTTATGCTTCTGCTCTAACGGTCTGATTCTAAGAAAAGTCCCCAGGTTTATCATATTATTTTTTCTTTATTTAATTTTAAAATTCTTATAATACAGCCAGGTCGATATTGATTAAATCGCTGTATTAGTTTGAGTTAGTCTAATTTTTATAAAATTTGATTATAAAACAGATAGGAAAATGAGACTGAGATAAAGCCCAGAATTCAAAGAGTCTAACTTAAGTGATGGTGGGAAAAAATTGAATGATAGTAGAGCTTCTTCGATTAAGCAAACTATTAACAAGACCAATAAAAATGAGGTATCAGCTTTGTACAGCTAAAACGAATTCAATATGGTCATTTGGGGCAAATGGTAACTTATTAAATGGCTTAAACATGAACTACTTTAGGAAGAATGTATATGAATCCCCAATTCAGTTAAACATTGAAACCGGAGATGATGAAGGAGAACTGAAGTGCTACATTGTCGATATGATATCTCAATAGGACTACTGCTTATTCTTAACAGAAGAAGGTAAAGTATATTCAATGGGTTCAAGTGAACTTGGTTTACTTGGGCTTGGTCAGTCGTAAAGAAATACTAAGAATATAGCCAAATAAGTAAAACTTTTTATTATTTATAGCATTTTAGGTTCAATTTCCTAACTAGGACAAGATTGTTTAGATAAAATCTGGCAAAAGTCATGCCCTAGCTCTATCTAATGAAGGAAGAGTATTTGGTTGGGGCCTCAACAATTATGGCTAAGTTGGTTATCTAAATCCAGAAGACTTAGTGAAGTAGTAAGAAAGTGAACCAGCAATGCAATCTAAATTTTCCAGACAGGCAATTATATTTGAACCTAAACAAGTTTATCCAACTGTTGAAATGTTAAAAGACAATGACTTGGCCAATTTTTACGATGAAGCAATCTAAATTGAAGTTTTTGAAGATTCTAGCTACCTTGTGACTGAAGAAGGAGAGTTATTTTCCTGGGGTAAAAACGAGAACGGAATGCTTGGCAGGGAAGCAAAGCTGGACGTGAAGATGATGACCGCCAATGATAAGAAGAAAAAACTTACATTCTCAACATTTGTACCTGGCAGAGTAACCAAGTTAGAGAAATACAGAGTGAGGAGAATATCTATAAGTGAAGGTAAATTCATGGCTTACTTCGCTACCATCCAAGAGGACTTTGAAGATGAAGAGAAAAAAGACTCCAGTGTGGACTCAGACGAGGAAAAAGATGTGGTCGATGACATCGTTGGTGGTCCAAAAGCCAGTGTTCACAAAACTGGAGCTAACAGTCAGAAATATCACTCCACAGGCTCAAGCAAAGATGTTAACTCGTAAGTAATTATACTTTAGATTGCTAACTTTGTTGTCTAGACACGAGAATAACATGGGAGGGACTTAGGAACTTAGAAAGCAGAACACCACTAAGAGTAACATGTCTTCCAACTCTTCAAAGTTGCATACCACTAGCAGAGCAGGATGGTAAGGAGGAAGGAAAGCCAAATAAGAGAAAGATCAGTTTAAGTACATGATTGAGATTATAAAGAAAGCTTAAGCAATTAAGGAGGAATTGAGTAAATTCGATAGAGCTTTGGCAGACTCAGTCAAGCCACTTACTGATTTACAGGACAGGAATATATACTACTAGGTGATTGACAAGTTCTCACTTGGCTAGGAAAAGATGAATGACGCTGACGAGTTGAGATAAGCCATTGACAGGATGCAAGTGCAGCTGAAGAAGAATATCAATGTGCTGGAGAAACTTGAAAAGAGGAATGAACAATTATAAGAACTTATTAATGCCAGAGTAAATTATTATTATGCTAAAATCTTTAGGCTAACTAATTTAAGGGAGTGGACGATGAGATATTTAAGGATTTTTCAATTTTTGTTGAATTACTCAACGAATCGCTCGTTATGAAGAAATTCAACTTAGTTGGTTGCAAGATGAAAGTTTATCAAGAACGAATGAAGGAGATCAAGTAATCAAGCATCATACTTTACATCAAATTTTAGCTTCCTTGAGATGATTCAGTAGTTTAGAGAGAATGACTAGATAGATATAGATAAATGCGGAAATCATCTGCACACATGCAAGAAGCTATGCAAGAAGATTTAGGAGTCGCTCAAGAAAAACACTGAATTCTATCTGCAAATGCACATGAACTGCAGCATTCCATCCTCCTTGGCTCTCTCGGCTCTTACCAACTCAGTGTACCAATAATGCGATATTTGGAATGGCTTGAATACTCTATCCTCCTATACCTACATCTTGCAGTCTAAGATCTAGGATGCCGAATACACTAATGACAAGGTCAGACTGTTGTGGCAGTACTTCTCCTAGCTTCAAAAGACAGATTTCAATAAAAAGGTCGAGATTCATAAGAAGAAGATCAAGGACTACCCAACCACTAAGGAATGGTATGATGCGCTAATGAAGGAAATCAATCAAGAAATCAAGAATATACAGCAAAACGTGAAGTTCTTAATGAAGGAAAACAAAGGGGAAAATGACATTCTTCATTATTGCCAAAGTTTACTTTATGATGCCTGTCTAGTTAGATAACTGCAATACGCATCATAGTCAGCACTTTTTAATGGGGCAACAAGCACTTAGAGTCACACGCCAGGTGGAGTTACCTTAGGCAATGACTAGGTCAATATGCTTTAGAGAGAGGAAACCCTACAAAAACACCAGCGAGATTTCTTAGACTCTAATAGAAATAATCCAAGCTAGAAGCAAACTGATCCAGGGGCTGGAAATACCAGTGGATTTGGAGATAAGATTGGCAGCTTATTTGGAGGTTTCTTTACGAAGAAGTGATTCATAAATTTTATATAATTTGATAATGCCTCTTACCTTTACTTTAATCTCATGGGGTTTTGGGGTTTTGGGGTTTTGGGG